CCACTTAAAGTATTTTGAGCTTATTTAATATTTATAACTCTTTAATCACAATTTTATAAGTTTTCAAACATTGTTTCTAATGCTCTTATGAACATGAATTTTAAAATTTCTCAAAATATTAAGTTTATGAAAAGCATAATGAAAATCCAAACATTTATAGTAATTATACAGCATCATCAGAGTGCCACATATAAAAGCCTTTTTTAACAATCAAAATATTTAAAATAATTTTTAAAAATATTACTATGCTTAAGAAAAAAATCATGGAGATGAAAGTTATCAACAGAAAAGTTGCACATAGATATACATATTAATAGAAGTTTCATTTATAATTTCTAAAATATAAATGAAACAAACAAGGTGTCCTCAAGTAGGCAAATGGACTAATGAGCTATGACACTGCAATATTACTCCATGTTTAAAAATATCTAAACAAAATGGGCATGACTCTGTGGTATAATATTTTTTTGTATATTTGAGGCACTGAGTTCAATCCCTAGTGAGAAGAGACATCAAGCTATAAAGAGTCAAAAGAAAAATTGAGTGTGTATTATTGAGAGTCAATAAGAAAAAGCTAAATATTATTATTTTAGCTATATAACATATTAGGAAATACAAACAGTAAAACACAGACAGGAAAATATCACAGTTTGTCAAAGATTTGAGTAGAAGTTTGGGTAAATGGGTAGAATATAGAAGATTTTTAGGGCAGGTAAAAATAATCTGAGTGATAATACAAAATTGCAGTCATACACTGAACATTTTCCTACCCTACATAATATACCACTAAGTATGCACTCCAATACAAAATATAAAGTTTGAGGTGATAATTATGTTTCAATGGATCTCCATTAATTATAATTTTGGGGGGAGGGGTAACAGATTTAAGAGGACTATATATTTTCCAACAATTTTCTGAGAACCTAAAATCGCTTTTTAAAATGGTGATGCTAGTCACATTGTTTGGGGTTTAACAGATATGCTTGTAATCTCTTTTACAAGGGCTTAAATGGCTCCAGGATGAAATACAACAATCTTCGCATATTTTCTTCTTCTTCGCATATTTTCTTCTTAAGCTCCTCCGTGAGCTGTATTGCGGATTCACTACCAGGATCTCACCATTCTACAAAGAAATGATCGTTGATGTCAGGAGAGGAGTTTGGCAGGGTGATCCCATTTCACCGAAACTCTTCAGTGCCACCCTCAAGAACATCATGCGACAACTGGAATGGGAAGGAATGGGAGTGAAGATAGATGGTCGGCAACTACACCACCTCCGCTTTGCTGATGACATTGTTTTAATAACACCAAACATCAGCCAAGTGGCACAAATGCTGGCCGACTTTGACCGTGAGTGTGGAAAGGTAGGACTACAGCTGAATCTTATGAAGACAATCTTTATGAGAAACAGCCTCGTTCCTGATGCCCCATTCGCTCTCAATGGAACGACCATCTCCGAATGCAACAGCTATGTGTACCTCGGTCGAGAAGTCAACATGACAAATGACCTGGCACCCGAGCTGCGCAGGAGGAAGAGAGCGGCTTGGAACGCCTTCAAGAACGTCGAAGAAATAGCTAAGAGGACGAAGAACCTCCGGCTCCGGGCACATCTCTTTGATTCCACTGTTCTTCCTGCATTAACATATGCCTCAGAGACCTGGGCCCTACGCAAACAAGATGAGAATGCTATTCAGGTCTCCCAAAGAAGAATAGAAAGAGCTATGCTTGGAATATCACGTTTCACTCAAATGAGAGAAAAAATCCGGAGTTCCGACATCCGTCGAGATCAAAAATCAGGGATGCTGTCTCATTTGCCAAGGTGTCAAAAATCAGATGGGCTGGTCACATAATGAGATTTAAAGACGACCCATAGACTAGAGCTGTTACTGACTGGATTCCACGGGATGTCAAAAGACCACGTGGCCGCCCACCTACCAGATGGTCAGACTTCTTCGTGAAGATCACGAACCATCGGTTTGAGGCTCTTCATGATCCCAGAGCAAACAGATGCCATTGGGCTACACTAGCACACGACAGGGACAAATGGAGACGTTACTGGCGCCCGCTCCAGCAAATCGACGACTAACGGGAAGTTAAGTGATTAAGTGACGGTGGTGGGAAAGTGTAGAGTGGTGGGATTGGTGTTTGAATGTTAAGTGTAATGAATTATTGTGAACAACTTTATGTAAATAAAGTTAAATTTTAAAAAATAAAATAAAATGGTGATGCTAGAGTTTTTATGCATGAAACCCTACCCTTAGCAGTATTGTAAATCGTGGAGCCTAAAATAAAATAAGTAAATCAATAAAAATTAAATTTGTAAAGTATTATTAAAATATTGCAATATGGTTAAAACGTCCTTATACTTTTTTTTTTATCATTGTTACAAAACACTGAAAGTTATCTCAAAGTTCTTTAAAGACGAAAAAATCACTTATGTGGAAAGTTTTATATAGTGTGCTGACTTTGGACAGAAGAGGTATTACTGTATTACTGTATTATAACATGTAAAAGTAAACTTGAAGGAGAGAAAATAGAAATACTTCATGGAAATCATATCAGGAGGTAGATCTCCTAAGAGCTTTGATTTAAATAAGGGAAAGGGAGGATTTAAAGAAAGGGATGACCTATCCCATCCATGTCATACCAACTTTTCAAGAACTTAGAAACAATTTTTGAAGTGTGATGACAAAAGAGCGTATTTGTCAGTGGATGGAACTACAAAAATGTTGCACTTAATTGAGTATTTGGTCTTAATTGACAATGGGAAATGTTTCTTTTACACACATAAAAAAGTGAGGAAGACTATGTTTAAACCCAATTGCTTCCATGCTCAGTTGAAGGCAATTACAAAGGTAGGAAAACTTTGAACTAAAGTGCCATGGAATTGATCCCTATGAAATAACCCAATTTAAATTAGGCAAGTATAGTTCTCCGGCCAACCAAGGAATACACATAGAAAGGTATGGGTAAATGTAGATAGATATGTGTGCACACATTATCAATGGTTGAATGTTAAGACTATTAACTTTGGCCAAAAAATACTTTAAAGCTAAACCAAAGTAGATGGTCTGTTTTTTGAAATTGTTTTTAATTTCTTTTTTGCTTTTTGTATCTTCTGCAGATTCTTATGAAGAGCATCATTGCTTCATATTTCAATATATACTTGAAGTAGTAATGTGTCCAAGTTGAAATAGATTGAAAACAACAACAAAAAGATCAGTTGTTTTGTGAAGCCTGTGCTAGGCAGACTTTTATGCCATGTACAAAGACAAAAATAGCTAAGACAGTCATCTTATAAGATGCAAATAGAGATGCTACAAGCAATATCAAAAACTGAAGTAACCCCAATGACTAATGACTGAGATAGAATATCTGTAGCACGCTCAGATTTATAATAATATATGGACAGGGAACTGGAGGGACTAAAGAGATAGGCAGCAATATTATCAAACTAAAAATAAAATTTTGTATCCACTATAAAATAAAAGTGGATAAAAATCAGATGAAAAAATCTATGTATATTACATAGCTTTAATACAGGTAAGAAAAATAAAGCATTAAGATATATACTGTAAGGTGGCATGTGTATGTAAGTTACATATTTTTAACTATAGCCACAAATTAAAAATTATCTCTGGGAAGAGGCAGAGAAAAATTATGGTGGAAAATATAGCTAGTTACAGTGAGATGGACAATATTCTAGATGGGATGATACACATTTTTAATTATTGCATATGCTATTGGACAGTCATAAAATATATGTAAAATATTAAAAGTTCAGAACTATTTCAGTGATAAAATACACTCCTACAAGGCATAAGTGATATTATTTACATGTCTTATACAAAATGTCCCCTCGTTTTCAACCCTAACTTTATATTGTTATTATTAAAATGCCATAAAGCACTCTATGTATTTCTCAAAAAAAGAAAGTACCTAATAAAAGTACCTAATAAAAATATAAAAATGTTTAAAACTTGTACTGATCTGACTTTTATCATCGAATCAAGAGCTAGAACATTTTCATCATGAATTTTAGCCCATCTAACAAACTGCTCGCAAAAAGTCTAACCCATCAATACAAAGACACTGACAGAAGTGCAGGAATTAATTTTTAATATTAAAAATGCATAAACTACAGAGACTTAAGGGTGTTGCCAAACTAATAAACATTAAAACCTTAGGGCCAGAGAGATAATGCAACAGGTAGGACACCTACAATGCACGCAGACAACTGCTAACCTGGATTCAATCTCCAGCACCAATATGATTCTTTGAGACCTGCCAGGAGTGATTACTGAGTGCAGAACCAAAAATAAGCCCTAAGCACCACTGTTGTGTCCCCCAAACAAAAGTTTTTTGAAAAAATAGATTAATTAATTAAATGAAAATTTTAAATCACTGCATTGGACAAGAATCTTTTTCTAAGCATTTATCAAATAGTAAGTAAGTAAGTAAGTAAAGGCCCTCCCGTTGATCATCGATTTGCTCGAGCGGGCCCAGTAACGTCTCCATTGGAGACTTTGTTGTTACTGTGTCTGGCATATCGAATACTCTCGGTAGCTTGCTGGGCTCTCCGAGAGGGGCGGAGGAATCGAACTCGGGTCGGCCATGTTGGCTGCGTGCAAGGCAGACGCCCTACTCGCTGTGCTATCTTATTTATCAAGGCAAGATCAAATTTTCAGAGTTTTTGTTATTGTTTTTTTGAAAGAAAAAAATTTTTCTCAAACATCCATTCCAATATAAATAGAAAAATAAAGGTGAGTGGTAGCTTATTTTTACTTATAATGGGACAAATAGTTGGGCCTTTTATTTATCCTCAAGAATTTTTCTATAGATTCTAGTCTCAAAGAAAGTGTCCTGATTTGTTACCTTTTTATAAATAAACATCACTAAAGAATTATTTACATTACTAATTCAGTAGTTCCCAGAGTTCTTGTTTCATGGTTTAGAATAAGTAACAAATATGTCCTGTATGAACATATATTCATATTTTACTAATACTTTTTTTTACACCAGAGTTTTTCCATTGCATTTTTCATCTCTGAATTTCTCAAGGTATATATTAAAGGATTCAACATGGGAGTAATCACAGTAAACACCACAGTTATGGATTTATCAATGGGAAAGGTGGCAACAGGTCTAACGTACATGAAAATACAAGGAACAAAAAACAGGACTACCACTGTGATATGGGAACCACAAGTAGACAGAGCTTTGCGCCTGCCTTCCTGACTGTGAGTCTTAAGGGAATTGAGGATGACGCCATAGGAGATTAGAAGAAGAGTCAGGATGACCATACAAATGGCTCCGCCATCAGCCACCACTATTAGGCCAACATAGTAGGTGTCAGTGCAGGCAAGTTCGAGTAACGGGTACATGTCACAGATGAAGTGGTCAATGACATTGGGGCCACAAAAGGGGAGATCATACACAAAGAGAAGTTGTACCACGGAGTGCAAAAACCCGCCAACCCAAGACACCACCAAGAGCAGGATGCAAACTCGTCGATTCATAATGGTCATATAATGTAATGGCTTGCAGATGGCCACATAGCGATCATAGGCCATCATCACCAAAAGGAAGACCTCAGCACCCCCAAAAAAGTGTTCTATAAAGAGCTGGCCCATGCATGCTGGGAAGGAGATGGTCTTTTTCTCACGGAGCAAATCTGCAATCATTTTAGGTGAAACGGCAGTGGTATACACAGCATCCATGAGTGACAGGTAGGCAAGGAAGAAGTACATGGGGGAGCCCAGAGAGGGGCTGGCAAAAATTGTCAGCACAATGAGCAGGTTGCCCACCATTGTCACAACATAGATGAGTAAAAACATCACAAATAATGCCTTTTGCCCCTCAGGATCCTGAGTGAGGCCCAGGAGGACAAATTCGGTTACATTGTTTCTATGTCCCATCTACTCTTCCAGAAGATATTTCAGGGAGGAGAGCTCTGGAGAAATTGACCTGCAATGACATTTTTAACAGAACTGTGAGTTATCCATTATGTGATCATGAAGCACATCTTTATCATTTTATCTTCTACAGAAATACACCCACAATAAACAGCAAGTATCTACTGAGTACTTCAGAGAGATATTATAGGTATGACCTTAACAGTCTCGTTGCTCATGAAATAATTTTATGAGGATTACAAATAAGTGATTATAAGTCTAAACCTTCATGCATCTTCTGTAGAGAAAAGTTATCAAAATGATTAGTCATCCATTCATTCATTATAATCTTATAAAACTTATTGCCGCAGTCAGCAAAAATAAACAGGAAAATAATTCCTGCTCTCCAAATACTTGATCCTATGATGACAATGAACACACACAAAAGCATAGTCATAGAATATGACTTCTGAGCTGGTTATGTCTGTGTTGACTACACTTAGAATGTGTTCAATGTAGGTTCAAAAATAGTCTTATCTGGAATAATTCGTAAATAGCTTGCTATTCTACTAGTATATACCTCACTTTTCTTATCTCAATGGATATAGAATTTTCAGTATTCTATATTTCAAGAAATGATATGTTGACTTTTAAAAAATAACAATATAGTGCAATATAGTGATATATCTCATTGATTTTTCAATCAATTACTTTGACTCTTACAGTCAGATCTTTGCAAGTTTAAATTTTTCCAGTTTTCTTTGTCTGTCTTACAACTCTAAACACAGATTAGCTAGATTTTCAGCAAAACTTCTGAACCAAGTGAATTCATTTCTGGATATTTCAAACTATTAGACCAGCAACTGGTAGCTTTTATTTCAGACATTTTCCTGTTAAGCAAGACAGTGGGGGAACAGAAAATAAATAAATAAAGATTGAAAAGAAATGTAGGTGCCACCAGACCCCACACCAGGCTGTTTCATTGGAGCGACCCAGAAGGGTTGGGTGAGGGCCCTTCCACTCCAATGGAGCCTGGCCCAGCAGCTGAAAAACCTCCAGAAATCAACCACCACATTCCTCATCAGCCCTCTCTACATACTTGGACAAGCCTCACCCACAAGTGAATCTATTCCTGGACATCTCAGACTTTAAAAAAGGTAAAGTAAAGGCCCTCCCATTGATCGTCGATTTGCTCGAGCGGGCCCAGTAATGTCTCCATTGGCGACTTTGTTGTTACTGTGTCTGGCATATCGAATACTCTCGGTAGCTTGCCGGGCTCTCCGAGAGGGGCGGAGGAATCGAACTTGGGTCGGCCGTGTTGGCCGCTTGTAAGGCGAACGCCCTACCCGCTGTGCTAGAGTAGCACACCACATTTGATGGGGTTTAAAGTAGAAGGCAACCAATCTTAAAGGGAAATATATATTTATACTATATATATGTATATATATAAGCAAACAAAGCTCAACCTTTAACAATATGTTACTAATCTCTTTTACAAAGGGCTTAATGGCTTTTTTATAATATAACAATCTTCACACACTGTCCCTAAGAAACCTTTTCTGGATCATTTTTAGTGGATTACCCATAACAAGCAGTACAAAATAAATTATTTCAGTTCTGCTTGGGGGGCAGGGTTTGGGGTTTGGGATGGAAATATGGTGGCAGAAAAGTGTAATAGTGGTGAGATGGTATTCGAATATAAAATGTAATCATATATTGTAAAAAACATTATAAAGATAAAATATTTTTTAAAAAAGAAAAGAATAGAAATGGAGAAGACAATAGGAAGTCTATTTGTAATCTTAGATACTGAGATGGTTGAAAACTAGAATGCTGGTGCCCAAATCTGAAGAGTAGACGGCCTAACCGGAGTTAATTGCAGATACAGTATAAGAATGTGTGGAATTGTTTAATTTTCTACATGTTACTATTCTACCTTGGTTTGAAAACTTAAAGTTAAGGATACTGAATTATGAACTAAGATTTTTTTCAGTCCCTCATCTACTCATGCAATTCTACCTTATTCTGCTGATATTTATTTCTTCTTATATTTTTATAATGCAAGTTATTTGAAAAGCACTTACTTGAAATGTGCTACACATAAGTAATGAGGTTTGATCATTTAGGATACCAAATAATGAATACAGGTTTCACATTCATTGTGAATCTTTTAAGATCCACATTCTCATCACAGGCAAAGTGGAGAAGACTTTAGAGCTGCACTATTACTGCTGTTGAAATCTGGCTGCACTATAGACTAATTGACCTCAGGAAACTCAGCTAAACTCTCTGTACCTTTCATACATTTTTTTCTACAATACAATAGCTATCTTACAGTGCCATTAATAATAAGGTAAGGTAAAGGTAAAGGCCCTCCCGTTGATCGTCGATTTGCTCGAGTGGGCCCAGTAACGTCTCCATTGGAGACTTTGTTGTTACTGTGTCTGGCATATCGAATACTCTCGGTAGCTTGCCGGGCTCTCCGAGAGGGGCGGAGGAATCGAACTCGGGTCGGCCATGTTGGCCGCTTGTAAGGCGAACGCCCTACCCGCTGCGTTCGCCTTACAAGCGGCCAACATGGCCGACTCGAGTTCGATTCCTCCGCCCCCTCGGAGAGCCCGGCCATTATTAATACTCAAGCAAAATGCATTGCTTGATATTTACTAAAATAAATTAATAAAATTGCTAATATCAACGTTCATTTTTAATATTTCACTATGAACAACAACAAAAAATCATCTCGAGTTTTGTTGATTTTTCACATATAGACATAATTCAAGAAAAAAGAGGAAAGGATAAAACTTTGTGTTTTAGAAGTTTGTTTTATACAAATGTGATAGGACCTATGATGAAGGTAACATGATGAGAACTAAACAGAACCATACTTTTAAAAGTGCAAAATGAAATAAGACAAATAAAATAAGGAAAGACAAATAATATAAGAAATTAACATATGCAAATAAAAGAATATTAATGCAATAATAAGGTATAATTCTTTCAAATTCTTCACAAACATATTGGTTTGTGTAGAGATGCTCAAAGCCCAATCATCTGTGGATCCTGAGTTCTCAATAAGCTTCTTGAGAAGCAATAACAAAGAAATACAGAGCATATCAAAGTATCACTGTCACTGTCACTGTCTTCCCGTTGTTCATCGATTTTGCTTGAGCGGGCCCAGTAACGTCTCCATTGTGAGACTTGTTACTGTGTTTGGCATATCAAATACATCGCGGGTAGCTTGCCAGGCTTTGCCCTGTGGGCAAGATACTCTCGGTAGCTTGTCGGGCTCTCCAAGAGGAGCAGAGAAATCGAACTCGGCCATGTTGGCTGCATGCAAGGCAAACGCCCTACCTGCTGTGCTATCACTCCAGCCCACATCGAAGTATATTTTAGTAAAACATCATTTCACTGGAGACACTACATCTAATTGCAAGCACATTATTAAATTAAGAATCAAAGTCTAAGAACAAGCATAAATAGGTACAAGCCTAAATGTTTAGAAAATTCACAGCTCAGAAAATTACAGAAGTACTAAACCTCAGTGTGAACAAAATGGTTCCTTTTGTGACATGCAGAGAAAGTCAAGCATTCTTTAAAAGCCAATTCTGACCTTCAAAAGCCTACCATCATTTGACTCAGAAGTATTAACCTAATGAAACCTCTAGATGATAGAGACATGACTGATAAAGATTATAAGAGAATAAGGTAGACTATGCTCAATACTTTTCTACTCCAAACTTTCTGTAGGGACTAGATTCTGAACTCTCACTAATTACAATGTTGGATTTCAACAGGATAAATCATGCATTTTAATAATTTGAAATACTTATACAGGTAAAAATTAGGCTTATAAACCATTATCTGTACCTTGATACCACAGATTTGGTAGCATAAAAACATAATTATGCTATTAGAAGACTTTCAAATCTAACCACAAAATGCATACTTCCCTAGTTAGGAATATAGTTCAACTTTCAGTTCTTAAAAATATAGCTTTCCTAAAAAAGATAAAAATTACAATAAAAAAATCCCTCTTTAGTATTTTTATTTTGCCTTCCACTTGGCCCACATGGCTGACCCGAGTTCAATTCCTCCACCCCTCTCGGAGAACCCGGCAAGCTACGGAGAGTATCGCGCCCGCATGGCAAAGCCTGGCAAGCTACCCATGACATATTCGATATGCCAAACACAGTTAACAACAAGTCTCACGATGGAGACATTACTGGACCTGCTCGAGCAAATCGATGAACAACAGGAGGACAGTGCTACAGTGCTACAGTATTTTTAAATGACATACTTATGTTTCTTTGAATAATAACACTAAATTACATCTGAGTATGGACTCTATTATGAATACATTCAAACATAATTAAAAGTTTGTCGCTGAAAGACCATACTGAACTCCCAAAGGAGTGCAGCAAAAAAAATTTATATTCACACTAACTTGACATTACACAGAACCTAACATTCTCTAATTTAAATATCTGAAAGTCTGAGAATATGCTATCTGATAATATAGAATATTAACCAGCATTTTAAATACACTAGTTACTCATTTGTAATGTGTTCTGTTTCTCTGTTACTTGGCAAAGTAAATAACAAACACCCACTACATTCTAATTCGAAAATCTGAAACTTGGTATTTGTTCTGGTTCATTTATGTGCTTTGCTGATTTCCTTTTGTCAATGCAAATTTCCCTCTATAAATATAAAGATCACTTAAGACAATAGAAACATTTAAGCATATTCATAAATTTTCATTGAGCACCCTTGTAAGTTATTTCAAAGCCTCACCTCCAAGAATATTTTTCCCTGGATCTCAAAAATCAGTGCTTCTTTCATGAAGGTAGCAGTTGAGATTTCACATATCTTTGTGCATTTATGGAACACAGAATAGTATGTGTCTGTTTGATGAATCCAGATATAGCTTCCAGTGGTCACGTGTCCTATATTTCTATATAAGCCTCATTTCATTCTTTCAGGTAAGAGTGAAGTAGCCTATGCAGGCGCCTATATTTAAAAAAATC